GCAAAATTGCCAATTTGAATTAAATCAACCCTAATCACCTCCCAACGGCTAATTAACATCTTCCACTATAAATACAAGCCTAATCCTTCATATTTCTTCAAGAAACAAAGCTCTAAACATCCTCTCTTTTTATTCTAAGTGTGTTCATCCTTTTATTAATTATTTTCAATATTTTGGCTATTTCAAGAGCCTTAAATTCCTGAATTTTATACACACACTTTGAGCTTGTGTTTCTAGTTATATACTCTCATATTCATAAGTTTATATTGTATTTTTGAGAGAGTATAATTTCCTTCTACACCGGCTAAGTTTTGTTCTTCATTTTTATATTCTAGCCGTTGTGTAGAATCCTCTTTTGTGCTCTTCAAACACACCTTCTTACGGTCGAGAATAGCCGTTAAATTCTCATATTGTATCGGTCGAGGATAGCCGTATAAATCCTTGGGTAAAGGTTCAAGGATAGCCTTTGAAATCCTTGGGGGAACGGTAGAAGACAGCCGTTAAATCTTCGTTGTAAACGGTTCGAGATAGCCGTGGTGAAATCTCGGAGTGAATCCTATTGGCAAGGGTTGTTTGCCAAACTAGTGCGGTGCTTTGACGGAGTTCAAGAGACCAAGACTTAGTGGATTCGGAAATCCTTGAGGAGGAGCCTTGAGGTACTGGAGTAAGGAGTTCCCGAACCAGTATAAAATTGGTGTGCATTTTGTTTACGCTTTTATTTCTGCGTTTTATATATTGCTTCCGCATTTGCCAACACCATTTTTACTTAACTTCGAAAAGTTTTTAAACGCCTTATTCACCCCCCCTCTAAGGCGTGGGCACAACGACTAAACCGACTAACATGGAGTACAAATGTATTATAATTAATCATTACAATTAGCCTATTTAAATAGAAAAAATCAAACTGAAAACATATTCTATGACAGTGGACAGAAGAATGTAAGATAGCATGCATGACCAGGGATGGCAAAACACAGCAGAAGCACTCAGAAAACATGAAACAGAAACCAAATAGAAGAATGAAGAGATGGTGCTGTCATGTATAGGTCTAAGCTATTTTTATCCAAGCAAAAAATGGATCAAAGTCTTCAACATAGAAACAAATAAAATCAAAAGTTACCATAATGAACAAAAATGGAAGGGCGGGGATGCCCGGTCCCGGTTCAGGTCTCAACTACGTAGTACTTCACTTCAATAGAGAAACAAGTTAAAAACTTTGAGCATAATCTCAAATGAAACAAAGGAATACAAACTCTAATCGTCCCCAAAAAGATTAATTCCATCCATGTCATCATCAGATTCCTCGACTTTCTCCTCCTTTTTCTCTTCGGCAGCTGGAGCAGCAGCAGCACCGCCAACAGCACCACTAGCAGGGGCAGCAACTGCCGCCACACCACCACCACCGCTGGGAACGGATGCCAGCTTTTCCCTTCCAGATGCAATCAGTTCGGTGATATCCTTCCCCTCAATTTGAGATAAGAGTAGGCCAACTCTATCATCATCGACGTCAGCACCAACTGTGAAAATATAAATTGAGACATTAGATTAGTCACTGTGGGAAGTAGACAAATAAAGAATGTGCATCAATTTCGGGCATATCAAGAACAAAAGAAGAAGCAACACACCAAGCATGAGATCCTTGCTTACTTAACTAACAGTAACAATTTTTGAACAAATTCTCATCTCAAGTGCAACACTTATTGAAAGCTTAAAATGAACATTTTTTGTTTAGAAAAATCCCATAATCAGAAACTGAAGAAAATAGACATTTCACACATCATAAATTGTACTTGGTTTGGGCTGGGCCTCAAGCTTGTAAGAGTGAGGGTGCAACCATGCTACCCAACACCCCAATCTTGGACAACTTTGCCCAAGCCCAATTTTTTGTTCACAGAGTTGCAAAGTTACACACAAGGGCTAAGAAAAAGAGGGTTAAGCAAAACTAGGATCCAATTCAGGGTGCAAATGACTCTTTCGTTTCTTCTATAGTCTGTTTGGAACTGAAAAGCTGCTAGGAAAGAAATGTGTCAAAATTTAGGAACAGAATGCTCTTCTTTTCAGTATATTAGATTGCTAACACATTGCTGATAAAAATTTCGGACCACCATTTTTTTCTTTCAAAACAAAAATGTTGGATCAACAAGATGGTAAGTAGTGAACAACAAATAACTCGAATTCACATTACTTGAAACAGATACATAACTTCATATCTGGAGACGGTAGAATTTATAGATAGAAAAACAAATAAATGTGGCGGCATACCGGAAGACAGAATGTTCTTGATGTCCCCGGTGGAGGGGGAAGCGTTGCCTCCGAGCACGGCGAGCAAGTATGCAGCGATTACCTTCATCTCCCTTTTCCTGCGATCCAAATTCCACAACAGAAAAAATGATTGAATAAAATCTATTTATGTGCATCCAAACATGAATACTAAATACATGGAAACACAGATCGCATCGTTTTACAGGACGAACCTCTGAAGAAATGCGTAGAAGTTGCAGGAGCGAGGGCTTCTTCTAGGGTTAGGGTTCTTCGCTGGGAGGAGGGAAGAAGAGAGATAGATATAGCGAGAGAAATAATAGGGGAGATAATATGAACGTAATTTGGACCAGCCCAAAGTATTTAGGGAGTAATTACGATACTCCGTAATTAGTAGCCCTTGGTTATGCTGTTGGGCCACCATATACTTTCAGTAGATGACGTTCTTTTAAAAATAATTATACTTTTCATTTTGATTTATAATAATTCTAAATTTTATTGAAATTTGTAAAGTTTAGGGTCCATTAAACTACTTGTGGCACAGGCGATGCCCCAGTACGCCATGTCAGTTTTTTTACTTCCACGGTCATTGTGTTCGGCCATTGAACGAATGATGAACTCTTTCTGGTAGTGTGGCAAGGGGATGAATTCTACCGGTATCAAGTGGATGTCTTGGCAACGCCTAACTATCCCTAAAAAATTTGGAGGTCTGGGTTTCAAGCAGCTTCATGGCTTCAATGTGGCAATGTTGGGAAAGCAAGGGTGGAGATTTCTAGTGCAACCGAAGGCTTTGGTTTCACGTGTGTTTAAAGCAAGATACTTCCCAAAATCCTCCTTTCTTGAGGCGGGGTTAGGCGCTAATCCGAGCTACTGTTGGCGGAGCATCCTTGCAGCCCAAGATCTATTAAGAGGTGGAGTTAGGCGACGAATTGGAGATGGGAGGAAAACTCTGACTTGGGGTCCTCCTTGGATGGCGAGCCATAGTAATTCAGTTGTGGATTCATCACCACCACTGTTTATGCCAAACATGCCGGTACACTTCCTTATTGATGAGCGAAGCAATTGTTGGAGAATGGAGGTGGTGCGGCAGTGGTTTCCTTCGGTAGTTGCGGACAGAATTCTGAGAACTCCTTTCTCTGCTGCACACGAGGATGGGTGGTTCTGGGCAGGTACTTTGCATGGAGGCTACAGTGTTAAGGATGGCTATAGGAGGCATGTTGGAGAGGTTGAAGTGGCAGCAAATGAGGTGAACTCGACACGTTGTTGGCATATCCCAGTTGCACCGAAAATCAAGGTTTGTCTATGGCGAGCTATCAAAAATATTTTGCCAACCATCTCTAACCTTAACACTAAGGGACTTAACATTGTGAATGTATGTCCTATTTGTGGTTTGGGTGAGGAGACGGTTGAGCATTTATTCCTTCACTGTCCTTATGCAGTGACAATTTGGGCCCGGTTGGGTTTGCGTGTTATTCGTGAAGGGAGCATTTCGGCTCATGCCTGGTTTTGGGAGGTGGTGCAGACAACCTCTCGGTCAGAGTTGCAGCTGTTTGCTTGGGCTATTTGGGCGTTATGGAAAGCCCGCAATGCTGCAGTTTGGCGGTTTCAAGTTCCTACACCCTCAAGCACGGTATGTCTTGTTACTGACACTCAAAAAAGTTGGTCTAGGAGTACTTCTAGTCGGGCGGTTGGGTTGCCTTTACCATCTCCTAGGCCGGTAAGATCAGGAGCTTTCAAATTGTTTGTGGATGCAGCTTTATTCCCCCCTTCTTCTATGGTTAGCTTTGGGTGTGTTCTCTTTAACCATGATGGCTCTTTTTTTGCTGCATTGAATGGAGAATTAGTATGTGAGACTGATCCAGATTTAGCGGAGGCGATGGCATGTAGAAGGGCTTTGGGTTGGGCGAGGGAGCAAGGACTTACGGAGTTGGAGGTGTTCTCGGATTGCTCTAGGGTTGTGGATGCAATAAATGGAGAGTCTACTTTTTTGTCTTATATTGGTTCGATTATTAGTGATTGTCGAGGCTTGTTATCTCAGTTTAATTATGCTACTTTGTCATTTGTCCCTCGGACATCTAATGTGGTAGCTCATGTGTTGGCGAAAAGAGTTGTGATGGAGGCTGGGGTTTAGTTTGTGACTCCACCTGCTTTTGTACGGCCTTTTTTGGTTGAGTGAAGTGGTTTCTTTGTTTTCAAAAAAAAACATAAGTGATCTGTTCTGCGCAACAAAATGAAACTTAAGATTATTTTTAATATATTTTTGTTTTAATTTTTTTTCAAACTTTCCCTTATATTATAAAAACTTTTCTACCTCCATCAATTGTTTTTCTTTTTTTATTAAGATTTTTTCTTACCTAAAAAAAATAAAAAGTAGCTATAAAAATAAGAAAAACTATTACATAAAATCATACACAATTAATGAAGTAAAAATATAATCACCGAAAAAATAACCTCAAATTGATAAGAAATACTCCGTAATACTTAAAATATACGGATTTATGGGTTTCAACAATGTTTTAGGCACTATAGGGGGAATTAATGTATTACTTCCTTCTCTTGCTAAAAACGAAAAAAAATGAAAAAAAATTGTTTTTTTATTAAAACCGTTAAAATGTGGGGAAATTTTTTTTTCTTACTTCAATGTAATTTTATTTTAGTTATTTCGTAATAAGAATTTTTTTTTTATTTCTTTAAGGTTTTAATACGGATTCTTTTTATATCTTGTTAATTATTTTCATTTTTAGCAACGGGAGGAAGTAATACATTAACGTTAGAACCCACTCCTTGTATTTTTTTGTTTTAATCCTTATGAGTGTGAGGTTAGCTTTTAATGATTATCTTTTTATTTCATTAATTTTGTATGGTTTTAATTGTTTTTTAAATTTTCATTATTTTGTTAGGTAAGACAAATCTTTTTTTAAAAAAAGAAACGATGTAGGTAATTAAACACTCTTTTTAAAATGTAAAGGAAAACTTAAGATAAATATAATAAAACAAAAATTCATCAAAAATAATCCTAACTTTTTCTAACGCCTCGAAATATACTCTAAAATTTAATAATAAATTTTTAATAAATCAGAATTCAAATTTTCACCTAAATTAAATAAAATTCAAAAAAAACTAAAAATAGGGTATTTTGAAAGTAATATTTTATGATCAAATTTATACTCGAGTTGAATGTATGCGACGAATTTAATAGTATATTATGTATCTAAGGTAATGTTGTAACGCCCTAAAATACACCTTAGAATTTTATAACAAATTTTTAATAAATCGCAATTCTTACTTTTATTGAAATTAAATAAATGTCGAAACAGAAACACTAAAATACAATATTTTAAAACAATCTTTTAATTGTCAAGTTTATATTCAGATTGAAGGACTCGACGAGACGAGTTCAACGGTGTATCCTGCGTGGGAATTCAAGCTACCAATGTTAGGGGCTTGACCGTCAAAGATTCCTATTCCCGAATTTTTATTTTTTATAATTTTTAACTTTTTGGAACAATCACATGCATTTTACGTACCATTTTAACATTCTGGCACGGCACCTACCGTGTATTATTTTTTGTTTTTCCAACAAAAACCGTGGATAATGAAATTATGTTACTAAAAATACCTATAAAGTACAAATGGAAACACAATTAAGTTAAAATCATATTTTCTTCATATTGTAATTATAGTTTTCATACTATAATCTTTTATTGGATTTTCGATCGTCTAAATTTTTATAATTTATAATTTTTGACAAAAAAACATATGGTATGAGAATACATTTTTTAACCAAGTCAACATTTTCATTTATTTTATACATGGTAATAGCACAAAACTAACTTACCTCTATTATTATTATTACATTTATTATTATGATGATGATTATTATACAGTACCATACTGGTATCCAATTATAATCATTATTGTTTCACATGTTACCTTTTTCATTTTACACGATACCAAACTTTATAAGGTATGAAATTAACTTATTAATAACTAATAATTAATAATTAAAGTTTCATATGTTACCTTTTTTATTACACGGTACCAAAACATATAAGGTGTGAAAATGTACAAAAGTATTAGAGAGTGAGCAATTGGAATGCTGCAGAGCAAAAAAAATATAGAGCACCCAAACGGAGCCTTATCTTGAGTTGGCAGAGAAGACAAGTTTGCTCCAAAAACTATGGCAGCAGAAGAGGCATAAAAAGGTTTGGGATCAGACGACTTCAAAAACGGTTCATATCTCCAAAACAGTTCAGAATTTTGAAATTCATATCTCTCAAACGGTTAAGAATTTGAAGTCAGCGCAGAAGGAAAAGTTGTTCAAGACAAAATTTTAAAAGAGAAAACACTTGCGCGATTTCATTAAGTATTTGATAAAATAAAACATTCTTGTCACCTCTTGTTTTGTAGAACTTTTGACGTAATTTTTTAATATGTAATTTTTATATCTTATTGATATACTAATTTATAAAAAAAAAGAAATTTTACTCCGTAACCCACAATTTGTAATCAAATTGGGAACGCAGGGAGTATTAAATTAAATTTTTGCACTAAATCAAAATCCGGCCAACCAGGTGCAGCCACGTGGCGCGACTGGTTGGCCGACCAAAAGATAGCAACAAGTGGATGGGATTTTCAGCCGTCGTCATCATCAATCAGCAAAATAAATAAATAAAAGAAAGAAAGAAGAGACAAGGAGGAATGACGTTAAAAGAAAAATAATTTCTGCCCCCATGCGCATTAACTACCCAGGCGTACGCCTCTAGTCCTCTACCACCCCCAATCTGCCGGAACTCGGAAGCCAAATAAAAATTTCAGTCTATACAAGTATACAACTAGGGCTTTGCCCCTTCATTCAATATCACCTTCTCTCCAAGTCTTCAAGGCCCGAAACTTCTTTATTAGCTCTTTTTGTAAATACAATTTTCAAATTTTTAAAATTTTTCCGAGTCTATAATACAATTTTCTCCTAGTCTATAAAACAATCAAATTTTTTTTGTAAATACAATATTCGTTTTTAAAATTTGGTCTGTATATTAATTGTTTTAAACATATTCAAATATTTGAAATTTTAAAAAATTGTTTTTTTGTAAATTCGAAAATCAAAAGCTACACAAATGGTTTTTTGTAAATACATTATTCATTTTTAAGATTTGATTTGTGTGTTTACTTTTTTTAAAATATCAAAATTGGAAATTTTTTAAGGGACGGAAATTAAAACTAAAAAACAAAACTAAAAAATCAATATAAAAAAATTGAAATACCTACATGTAGGGGTATATACGAATCGAAGTAAATATATCACTATTCGATTCGTATTCGATTAAAGTGATGCATTCGAATTCAGATTCGTATATAATTTGAATTTTAAAAAACATTCGTATTCGATTCGATAGATATTTGACGTATTTGAATATTCGAATTCGAAAATATTAGAATTTTTTTCTTAAAATAGATTTCTTAAAGACATTAAATTATTATTTTATAATAATGTAAAATGTAGTAAAAAATGTTAGAATATATATAAATTTATTTATAAATTATAATATTCGAATATATATAAATTTATATGTACAGAAAAAATTAATACATTAAAATATGTTAAAATATGTACACAAACATTTAATATATTAGAATATATATAAGTTTATTTATAAATAATAATGTTTGAATAATTCAAATAATAAACGAATCGAATCTATTAATATTTGTATTCGGATTCGAAAATAATTCGAATCTAAAATATGATTTGTATTCGGATTCGAATTCGAATATAGCGAATACGAACCATTCTTTTGGAATACGAATCACGAATCGAATACATTTTATTTGATTTGTATGCACCCCTACCTACATGTCCTTATTTAAAAAAGTAAAAAAAATTGATCTTCTATTTAATAAATTCTAAATTCAAGAATACAAAAACTTAAACTCTAAAATTATCAAATAATTACAAACCAAAAGACATCATACATATTTAATGAAGGAATATTAGAATAATAACATTACTCAATGAATTATGGAGTACATTATAGAGTATATATAAAAGAGAGTCCAAACACTCATAAAAAAGGGATGAAAACTACTAAAAACATAACATCAGCCTTAAATATTATTGATGTCAAAAGTATTAATACAATATAGATTATAATGAAATACTTGAGCCTATGGAGTATATGAAAATTAGATAAAATCGAAGATAAAAGAAATATATACAGTATATAAAGAAGGGTTGGGGTTCCCTTCTCGTCGTTCGATAGCCATAGCCAACCGATGAGATGGCGGCGGAAGAGAATCAGGATTCGGAGGTGTTGTACAACGGCCTGACCCGCGGCGACATCCGCGAAGATCTCCGCTGGCAAATTGAAGAGGTAGGCATGATGTACCCTGAGTATGTCAACCACTGGTCTGATGTTCCGGTTCTGGTCTAAAGGGAATATTACCCTGACATCAAGGACTACTATGCCCTGAAAGAGTTGGTCATGGACGAATTGAATAAAGTGGACAGCTCCAGCGACGACGAGGAAACTGAGGTTTTTGGTCCTGTTGATCTCTCAGGCTGTTCTGCTTCAGTTCCTTTCTTCGACAAATGGCTTCCCGTCCTAGTCTCTGGGACTCCACCTGAACCACGGGCTTGGCATGGAGCAGCAGTCATGGGAGATAAACTGTACATCTATGGGGGAAGAAGCTGGGATGGTCGTTTCCTTGGCGATCTTCATGTACTTGATTTGAACTCTTGGACTTTGCACGAGCTCATTGGCACTAATCCGGGAGTGAAAGGGGATGTGAAATCAAGTATTTATGCCGCCCATTCATTGATAGATAGCTTGGAAGGAAAGGCTTCTTTTGATTGTTGGACATACAATGGACCCATCAGAGGAAACCATCCTGGTGAAAGTGTTTGATCAGCAGAGTAATGCCTTTTTGGACTTCAAGACTTCGGGAGATGCACCGATCGCGCGAGGAGGCCACTCTGTGAACCTTTTTGGAAATCGCTTAGTGATATTTGGTGGAGAAGATGCAAGGGAAGAATGCAGATTTAATGATCTGCATAGCCTTGATCTCGTGAGCAGGACATGGAGCAAACTGGATGCTCGGGGGCAACCTCCATCACCCAGAGTCGATCATGTTGCTGCATTACATAAGGAGCGTTATCTTCTAATCTTTGGTGGTTCTCCACACTATATCTGGTTTGACGACCTCCATGTTCTTGATCTTGAAAAAGAGGAATGGTCAACACCCGAGTATACTACGTGTTTTCCTATAGGACCGTATGGTCGTGCAGGTGCAACAATTTGGGATAGTTGGTTAATTGTTGGCGGTGGGACTGGCAAGAAGGGAGTTGATACTTGCATCCTGAACTTGTGGAATTATTTCTTGTCGGTGGTACCAAATACGGGGCGAAACATTTCTGCTGGCATTATGGGGTGGAGTTTGGTTGTGAGCACTTGTTGTGGTGAAAATATTCTGCTATCATTTGAAGGAGCTGAGAAGTGCTGCTATAAGAATGATGTGCATGTCCTTAAACCAAGCCATTACCTTGTCCCTAATTTTGATTTTGATACCAATGCAGACTTTGATCACAGACAAACTCAGAAAACTGAATGCTCACATAAAGCGGAGCCATCGAACGCAGCGTCTGATAATCACCATGCCAATGATATTGAGTATTTACCCGGCCAGCTGGCAGCCAAGCAGTCAAGAAATGCCAAACTTGAGAGGGAAATCAATAATCTCATGCAGAAGAAATTGGACGAAGCTGAAGCTGCAGGACAGAAAATGGGCTCTAGTCACAGCAGGGGGTTGGGGAAGAGCATTATTCTCAGGTAGGTGTGGTGGTTTACCCATTTTTCTCTTCCCAAAGAGTCCACTTGTGAAGAGGTTCCAGCTTTGTAACTTGTAAGATATGAAGTTATGGTATGGTCTTAATGTATTGTAATCTGTTTGGATTGTAATATATATATATATATATATATATATATATATATATATATATATATATATATATATATATATATATATATATATATATAACTGGAATTATAGGAATTAAGTTGAAACGAGAACAATATTTTTAAAACATTTCCAAATCATTAAATAAACTTCATAAAACAAAACTTCAAAATAAAACATATTAAATTCAGATCGATCCTTTTACAAAATGTCGGAGATAGCGGAAGACTTAAA